GTTAAAGAAGTGGGAAGGTAATTATCTGTGCTAATAACTTGTAGAAATCTTCATTACCGGCCCAAAGTCTTCCAGGTAGCACACGAAAGCCGAGATTTTACTCATTCCATATGGATTATTTTTTCAGTTTTGTTTTATTTTCACTGATGGAGTAAAGGGGGAAGGTAACCATCCTGGCAATGGATCATAGAAATCTTTATTATCACACAGCCTTACAAGCTGTGCACTAAACGAGAAACAAAAATAGGGATGGTTTTATCTAGGAAGATAACGTAGTTAACGTTGCTCATTTGTACAATGACCTCCCCATTTGTGTACGTTTGTCTCCGCCATGTGGCATAACAGCTTTTCTCATGTTCTCCCAACATCTCCCACGTGGTTTATTGCGGCGGTAAACAGTGACTTTTATGCGTGACCGGTTATACGCTTCACCTTTCCGTTACTTTCAATTGGCATAGAAGTTAAATATTGGCAGATTAAGAGTTATCGCGGTTCCTTTCATGCCATGGTTCTTCCTCAGAGCTAGCTGTTTTAAAAGGGAAATGAAATTTCGCATAAGAATATTGTTATATCTTTTTGATTGTGGAAGTTTTCGGCAGGACCATGGTAAATCAAAATTTACAATACATATTTTCCTGTATAACGTACGTATATTGTACTAAGAACTTAAAAATGTAAGAGTTGCCTTTTACCTGACTAGAAAAAATGCGGTTATTCCGAATTTAGGGCATAAATTAGGCGCTGTGCAATATCTCAGCGCCTGCAAAAGAGGCGCGTTTAGCTGGGTTAACTCGCTCCGGGGTAACTCTAAACGTTTTAAGAGTGATTGTCAGTAAAAATCAAAGAAATCGTGGCCACGGTCAAAAATCGATTTCGCTCATACTTTGTCAGTTTGAAGGCCTAGGTAAGTAACTGAAGGATATGAGGTTAGTTTTTTGAAATATTCCATATAACGGCAGAAATCCACGAAAAACGGTCACCCTACCGTTTACTCGCTCAAAAACTGTACAGTTTATGGAAGATCTTTCCGTATTTACAGCCCTAAATCATTCGGGTTCTTTCAGAAAGAATTTCGTAAAGTTTCAAAAAAAATAAATTTGTTATTTACCGGCTAAGGGTCAGTCCGTATGATGAAAAACTGTGACCTCGGTCTTGAAAATGCTGCCCTCGGCCTACGGCCTCGGGCAGTATTTTCAAGACCTCGGTCACAGTTTTTCATCATACGGACCTCCCAGCCAGCAAATAACATATATATTTCTTTCTTCCTTTTAGCACGTAAGGAGAAGGAGCAGGAAGGTAATTATCTGTGCTGATAAATTATAGAAATCTTCATTATCGGTTCAAAGTCTTTCAGGTAGCACACGAGAGCCGAGATTGTACACAGCCCATATGGATTATTTTTTCAGTTTTGTTTTATTTTCACTAATGGAATAAAAGAGGAAAGGCAACCATCCTGGCAATTGGTCATAGAAATCCTCATAAGCACTCAGCCTTATAAGCTTTGCATTAAAAGAGAAACAAAATACGGATGCATCAATTTATCTAGAAAGATAACGTAGTTACCGTTTTTCTATGTGTAAAAGTCTTAATGCATAGCTCTGTTATGATTTATGTACATTCACCAAGTTTGATTGAATAAATTGACTATGGTGACTCTGCTGACTATTAATTCCATCACTTTTAAACACGGTCTACACCTGTTCAATAATCTTATACGTGACAGTATATACGTTTTCTACGTTTATAGGCTTATTCTCACAAAATCAGCGGGGGCTCAGATGTATCTCCATATCCGATGGTAATTCCTAATTTTTTTTTTCTTTTCAGCCCGTAAGAAGGAGACTAAAGGTAATTATCTATGCAAGTAAATTATAGAAATCTTCATTAACGGCACAAAGTCTTCCAAGTAGCACACGGAAGCAGAGATTGTAAAAAGTCTGTATGGATTATTTCTCCAGTTTTGTTTTATTTTCACGGAGGGAGAAAAAGAGGAAAGTAAACCATCTGTGGCAATGGATTACAGAAATCTTTATAAGCACACAACCTTACAAGCTGTGCACTAAACGAGAAACAAAAGTACGGACGGATTTATCCAGAAAGATAACGTAGTTACCGTTTTTTCTATTTGTTAAAGTCTTTATGCATAGCTCTATTATGGTTTATGTACGCTTACCAAGTTTGATTAGATAAATTGACTCTGGTGATTCTGCTGACTATTAACTCCTTGCCTTTTAAACATGATGTAAATCCGTTTTCAATGCTTGTACGTGACAATATATACGTTTATAAGCTTATCCGTCTCACAAAATCAGCGGGGCTCGGATGTATTTTCATACCCGATGGTAACTCTTAATTTTTTTTTTTTTCAGCCAGTAGGATGAGTTTTGAAGGTGATAATCTGTGCTAATAAATTATAGAAATCTTCATTATCGGTGCATTTAAATTGGAGTGAGTCGATAACAAAAATAGAAATTCTTTTGTTTAATTTTATAGGATGAGTTTGTTATGAACGAGAACTATAAGTAGAGCAACTTTATCCTCTTCTTTCTAGTTGAAGTGCAATGCATGAAAAAAACAAAACAAAACTAAACTAAACTAAATAAACATACAAAACAAGAAAGCAAACAAATAGAACACGTTTTTTTTTCTTGTCTTGAAAATTGGAAATCACTTCTCAGGCTCGTGAGAGGTTTGCGCCATACATGCGCACGCTTTTATTCCCACGATTAGGAGTATTTTGCTGTTTGTGCAGGATTTCTGCCTCTTAACAGCTTTTAAACGAATAGAGTAGCAATAAATTGAAAGATAAATTCGAAACGTTCCTGATAAGCTTTAAACCGAATGCACTACGATAAAACATCTATTCAGTTGAAATGCCGTATTTTATCAGCTTACTTAGGAGCTAACGGTCTTTTACAGCTGTTCGATGTGCAATATTTCCTTGGTAGACAATTCTAACTTTTTTTTGGCGTGCATTACATATAACGGATATAAAATGCTGCGATCAGTGACTTAAGTCCCTCAGGGTTATGAAAACGGGATAT